AAAGCAGCCACCAGTTGACCTCGCGACTCGCCCCGTAACGCTCTCGAAAACGGCCAACACAAAAGGAGCGAAATGTGGAAAGTCTGGTTCACTCCGTGGGTCTGAGTGAGTAGCCAGCCAGCGAGTAAGTGCGCGTGGAGTGAGTGGAGCGAATGGAGTTGGGGAGTGCGTGCGAGCGGAGTGGGTGGAGTGAGTGGGGTGAGCGGCGTGAGTCCAGCAAGTGGAGTGAGCGGAGTAGGAGCGAGAGGGGTGAGTCCAGTGGACGCAGTGAGTGGAGTGAGCCGAGTGAGCGAAGTGACTGGAGTGGAGTGGAGTGGCGTGGAGTGGAGTGGAGTGGAGTGGAGTGGCGGAGCAGAGGGGGGGTCGGGGGTGGGGGGAGTGAGTGAGCAAGTGAGTTGAGTGAGGGAAGTCGAGCGGAGTCAGTGAAGTGACTTCGAGCGAGTGCAGCTGGTAGAGCGGGGCGGGAAGGGTGGAGCGGGGCGGGGTGGAGCGCACGGAGAGGAGCGGAGTGGAGTAGAGTTGAGTGGAGCAACATGGAGCAACTGCATCGGGAGGAGTGCGTCACATTCTGTTCTTTGCCTTCCCTTTTCCCCTCGGGCGCCGAGCCCTTGCGAGCCAGGTGCCGGAGCGCGCAGAGCGCCAGCGGCACCAGATCCGCACGCCGCAGGCTGTTCTCCTAAGGAAAACCAAGCAAAATCGGATAAGCCCAGAAGCAAAAGCACGCGGGGAGAAAAGAACGAAACCGGCACACAGGACGAGTGGAGAAAGAGGATGAGAAATGAAGGAAGAAGAATTATACCAGCATTGGCCCTGGACAGCAAGATAAGTTGTCAGCCAACGATCTAAAAAAAAAACATTCCACTACAGAGACACATGTGCGACGCCACCTGGCAGGGCGGCCGAAATCATTCTCGCATTACAGGAATTGTTTCATCACGCGCCGCCTCTCAAATGACTTCGCCTACGCGACATGATGGCCAGTAAGACTGCAGTGAGGCGCGTCGGAAGACTCCTGGTTGCACCCTGCGCAACTCTGAGTCTCGGCCTGCAGCGACATATTGCAGCCACACCCTGCAGCTGACACTTGTCCTGCAGCGGGCCCCTGCAGCAGCATCCTGCCTGCAACAGCACCCTGCAGCAGCGCCCAGCGCAATCTGAGAGCAGCTCACTCGGCCTGCAGCAGGCCCCTGCAACAGCATCCTGCAACAGCATCCTGCAACAGCATCCTGCAACAGCACCTGCCCAATCTGGGGAATGGTAAGCGTAGAAGGACGTACAGGAACTGACAAACCATTGGCAACCGAATCTCCATGAGCTTCAAAACAGGCAGCAGAGGAAAGTACCCTTCATCAACAAAGACGAACAATGTCCAAAGCGAATGTCCATCAAGAAGTTGCATCACAGGAGCCTGGAGACAGTCTGCGGAGCGTTTGCGAAAATTAGGTCAAACGCATAAGAATAGCTGAAGGCAATACGAAACAGAGATGTTGAACAGAGGAGCCGGCCGAATGACTACTCCGAATCCAGAACCGCTGCGCGCGCTGCAGGACACGACAGCGGACTAGCTTGCCGCAAGGCAAAGGGCGGCAAGGGCAAGAAGCTCTGCGCCCCTGAGGGCAAGGGAAGCCAGCGGACAACGCCGTTCCTACGCTGACTGCAGCGTGATCTGCGCGGACTGCAGGGAGCGTGGCGAGGGTTTTGTGATGGGTCAGCTGAGGTGTTGCGGGTATGGACATGGAGTGAGACAGCAGAAGGAGGCGCGAACCCGGCGCAACCTGCAGCGTGTTACCAGGCGTGTCTTCCAGCAAAGCGAGCCCATCATCAGAAAGGTGGTTCCCGTAAGGGTGCACTCGATCCGGCTGATGTCGCCACCAGCCAAAAGCCCTTATCATGCTCCTGATTGGCTCTGAACTTCTCTTTAGCTCTTTTGGAGTAGCTCTTTTTGAGCTCTCTGCACAAGGTGAACCACAAGTTGCTGCACTGTCTCGGCACTTGTGGTCCGCGCAAGTTGCTTTGCGCGAGAGTCTGCGCGTCGATCTCTGACGGCGCCTTGCGTATGTTGATTGACACAAGTTGCGCCGCGCAAGTTTCTCACACAAGATACTCTTCACAAATTTCTCCAAGGTAAGGGCTCTGCGCAAGTGCCTTGCGCAAGTCGCTCTGCGCAAGTTGCTCTGCTCAAGGATGTTCTGCGCAAGTGGCTCTGCGCAAGCTGCCTGCGCAATGGCCCTACGCAAGCTCAGCCCGCATGGCTCTGTGCAAGCAACTCCGCGCAAGTGTCTCTGCGCAACTGTCTTTGCGCAAGTGCTACGGCAAGTTGTTCTGTGCAATTCTAAACGCCACTCGACGCGAGCGCTCCATGCAAGTGTCTTGTGCTAGATGCGAACTTCATCGGTAATGTGCTTCGTGGTGCTACTTGTGCCTCCAGGTCGCGATTCCCCAGCCGGAGCTGCCAACTTGCCGTGAACCCAGCGGGGATTGCAAGAGCAGTAGTGCAAGCACGAGGGCCAGCTCGCCAGCATAAAACTCGCACGAGACCACAGCCAGAGCAATGCAGCTGTTCCATCAAACGAAAGACTTGTCCACAAGGTACATAGCACTGGCAAAGGATGGATCGTGCCGTACATGGCCTGGATCTGGACAGCTGAGTAGGTGTGTCAAAGTTACTTAATCAGGGGGTAAGTGGAGAGGCATGAGAAAGGCTCCAAGAGCCTGGGATATAGACATGAGGCAAAAGTCCAAGCCGCAGCTTTGCCGAGCAAACACTACTGCCAAGCACAAGTTTGGCATATCGCACCTTCATCCACTTCTCGCGCTTCTTCTTTTCCGCCTCTCCAAAGCTCCAACTCGAAACCAGACGGAAGTGTAGCGCAGCGGCCTCCACCACAGCGCTGAGCTCCGCGATCTTCTTGGTGCAGTCCTCCACAATCCCTTTGATCTCGGGCACCTCGAATCGAATCAAAAAACCCGATCCCTCGAAATTCACCCGGCTCGGCCTGCTTTGCGTAGAGGTCTTCAAAGCTGGGGACGTCTTCTGGAGCATCATCGTCGTCCAGTTCGTCAAGCAGCTCCACCTCCTAGGGAAACAAACGAGAAGGAAAGAAGGCAAAAAACGCAAGGCAGGGAGATGTGCGCTAACGGCATGGGAGCGACCTGCTCGTGGGACACCAGGGAGATGTGCGCCCGGTGCCGCAGGAACCTGCCGGATCGGATCCCAGGCCCGGATGAAATCAAATCGCAAGAGGCTCGCAGATCGCTCGCAGACTCGCATGTTGCCTGGCCCGGAGGATCTCCTGCTCTGCCTGGCTCTCGCTTTTCGGTGTTCGCATCCCAACCCTGGGTCAGGCCTCATGCAGACGGTTGGCCTCGGTGGCTTTCCGTTGTAGATATGCGAAAAGAACGTTTCAGCGCCACGCCACAATGGCCATCAAATTGAAGCGGAGCCTCTCAAAGGAATCCAAGCTCCCATTTTAACTCGGGAAACGCATCTGCATCCAAGTCACTCCACAGACTCGTTCCCAGCTGATGCAGTCTTCGAGTATGCCTTTTGAGCTTTGAACCGGCTGAAACAAGCGCTTCTACATCTTGCCTCAATCCTTCTCTGAATTTCTTCGCGCGCCTGGATGCACGTTTTGAAGCTCCAGGAAAAGACTTGGAACAACTGGAACTCAGAACTTGGAATGGAACTCACGTGGATTGGAACGAGGCATCCCTGACGCGTGCTTCTCGCCTTCTCTGCCCAAAGCGGCCCGTCTGCATCGCCGATGAACACTGGCCCAGCTTTCAGACCTCAAGCACAGGCCAGCACAGGACAATTCCCCAAATTCTGAATCTTCTGAAGCAAAGCCCGCCATCCAGCTCGTAGATCTTCTGGTTGTGGCATATGTAGCACACAAAGTGAAAGGCTTCGCCCTTCTCCTCCTGAAAAGACACTTCACGCCAAGAAATTTTGGACATGGGGCAGACATGGACTGTGGGACGCGTCCCCATGGTTCTGTCAGCCTTCAGCTGTCCCTCCTTGTCGTGGACAATCTCAAACGATGTTTGCTGCCGGAAGGAGTTGTGGGCCTGCGAGCGTCTGCGAGAGTCTGCGAGAGTCTGCGAGAGTCTGGGATCGACTCGCTCGGACGCACGCTGTTTCGCCTTCCGGATGGCCTCGCTGTTGCTGATGGCCAGGCCCTTCATCTGAGGGTCAAGCCCCAGCGTGAAATCCTGAGTCCAAGTCGGGTTTCGTTCGCTCGTTGAGATGTTGTGTCCTTGAACTCCTTCAGGACTGGCCCCAGATCCAGATCCGCATTCATCAGGGCTGACAGGATTGCCTGAGCTCTCAGCCCCAAGCCAGTCCAGGGCCCGGTTTTGGGCTCCGACTTGCGTGGCGCACGCGTTGTGGATCACCTCTCGAGCAGAAAACGACGGATTTCTCGCCCGAGCTCGGCACCTGCTGCGCAAAGAAAATGCCGTGCTCAGATGCGTCCACCGTAGGCCGGGGATCCGCCTCGCGCTGCCACCTGGCGCCACTCTAGCTTGAGCCGCCACTTTTGCTTCGTGGAGTCGCTTGAATAAGAAGATCAGGCCATAGATCTTTTCCACCTCAGGCCATGGACGCGTTTTGGCGCTCGAAGAGTCCGGGCGCGCGTCCAGAGCTTCGAAGGCTTCTGGTCCGAGGCTGTAGATCTCCTCACGCGAACGAGTTGAAGTGAGGCGAGCAACTCGTGAGCTCCCGGCCTCGAACTGAATGCCCTTCACACCAATCTCCTGAAAACGAGCCTTTAGTTGCCCCCCCCGTTTTCCCTCGCAACTGGCGGTAAAGTCCTATTCATGTCTGCTTCATGTCCTGCTCATGCCCTGCTCATTCCCTGCCCTCTAGCTGATTTTGTCTGTCCTGTTTATGTCCTTGTGTCACCATTGCCTTCGCACCTTCCGAGTCCATGCGTTCGAGGGTATGTGGCGAAAACCAGCCACGCCGCTAAACGTTCCGTCACGTCACAGCGCGCGCTCTCACACAGGCCAATGCGAAATGCAGTTTGTCTTCCGGCCTCAAGTTGCTGCAGGTAACCGCGTTTGCTCTGGCGGCTAGGTATTTTAATGATCGGCACGGTCAAAATAAGCAAAATGAACGCGGTATTGAGCAGGCGCGCGCAAGCAGGTGTGCTTCCCAATTGGCAGGCGTGCGTCCAGGGTGAGCGGGAGCAGGCGGGCGCGCAAGGCAGAAAAGCTGTCCGAAATGCTGCGCCTTCCACACGAAACGCGTTTGGCGGACTCTATTGAGCGCTGGTGCACCCCGCCCCGCGATAATTGAAATACCATGCCGTGCGAAACTCAGGTTTGCAGGGACGCAGGCCACACGAAACACAATTGGTGAAAATGTGTGAAACGCGCGTTTATGTCCCGGCGGAGCCACGAACAAAGAAGGCACGCCACGTCATTTGGTGATGTCCAATATTTAAATTCCGCAGACTTTGTGATACCTCACCTCAGTCCCGTGAAGCATCACTCGGAAAGGGACAAGGTTTGTCAGCCGCTGTGGGGTCTGCTCTGAGTGACGGCTCCAACGTAGGATGCCGGGACTCCTTCTCTTGCGGCCAGGCGTTCCAAATGCGGGGCGAGTTAGAGCCATGTGGCTGGCCGGGGATGCCGCGGGCTCCTTGGGGTGCTTTTCCTGAAGGGCAGGACGCCTTCACCAATTTGCGGGCTGTTGTTGTTGCTCTTTGCGAGCATCTGCATTTGCTGCTTGGTTGAGCTTGTGATTTACAATTGCGTTTGGGTTCCCCGGCTCTTTGTTTTTGCATGGCATGTTGGCTTGTCACTGACGCGACCTCTTTATCCCTTCCCCATCTCCTCGCAGAGCTGGGTGAACACGCCAGGATCGCTCTCGATGGTGCACCACCTGAAATAGCATAACACAGAGAAGTGACCAACAAGTCAAGACAAGCAGTACAAGTAGTACAGGTGGGGCAAGCAAGGAAAGTAGTTCATAGTAAATGTAGTGCAGGTAGCAAACGTGGCAAACAACTTGTGTCAGACTTGAAGCTGAGCCCCAGGCTCGTCCGACATCGCCCTGCCCAAGGCTGCTCACTCAGTCTGCAGTCCCTACGACTCGTGATCCGAAATCCGGTCCCATTGTCTCGCAGCCCAAACCTGTTCCTTGTCCAATCCGATGGGTAAGCTTTGGGAAAGAGCGGAAAGAGCCCGGAGTCCGACGGAGTCCGACGGAGTCCGACGGAGTCCGAAGTGCCGTGCAAAGTCGACTGACAGCCCAGGGCGGCCTGTTCAGTGCCTCTCTGCTATCCGTCCACTTGATCCAGAGGTCAAGTACTCTTTCATGGAACTCTTTCATGGAACTGAGAAAGAGTGCTCATGCCATGGGCAGAATGTTTTCAGTGCGGGTTCGAGCTAGGCCTGCTCCAAGCCTGACTGTGAACCAACTAGGACATAACAAAAGCCAAAGACACCCCAAAGACAAAGAGACAGCGACTGCTCACTCCATGCCCCCAAAGCCGAACACGTCTTCCTCCTGCAATCGCATCATGCTTCGCATGCCCGGCATGATGTGGCAATTCGGGAAGGAGTCTGAACTGTGTTCCCTCCAGCTCCTCGAACATTTCTTCAGTTGGCCTTGCAGAAAGTGGCAAATATGCTGCTGTGTCACTGTTTGAGCGTGACTTGGTGAAAGCTTGAGACGACAGCGGCTTGGAAGCTGACCCAAAGCCCTCTTCGGGCACTTCGGCCCTTGCAACAAGCAAACATGGCTGTGCATGTGCTCGAGTGGCTTTGGAAGCTTGAGGCGAGAGCGGCTTGGAAGCTGACCCGAAGCCAAACGCCTCCCGCGCCGTGATGTCACTTTCCACCTGAAACAAAGCGCGCTGGAGTAAATTCCAGGGTAGGCCGAGCACCGTGTGCCAATTGGGGGCTGTACGGCTGTTTCAGAGTGAAATATGTGCATGTTGGTGGTTGTAGTTGTACTGCCGCTGTTTAGGGCTGGCGCTGTTGGGCTTAGTTGGTTTGGTTGCTTTAGTTGGTTTGGTTGGTTTGGTTGGCTTGATTGATTTGGTTAGCTTGGTGAGTTTGGTTGGTTCGGCTGGTTTGGTTGATTCAATTGGACTTGGTTGGGCAGAAGACTAGCTATGGATAGACTTAGGATTAGGGCTTGTGGGCAAGCGCCAAGAAAAGCCATCTAAGCCGCAATGCATGGAGGAACACAAGTTCCCTCACTGCAAAAGTCTCGGGCCGCCTTTTGCGACTTGTACTGGTATCTCAGCCTTGAGATGCGATTCCAAACAGGCGCAGATCCGATGCTTTTTGGAAAGGCGTTCGGGTGAAGCCGAGTTCAGAGCAGGTGAAGCTGATGCCGTGGGTCCGATTCAACGCCCAGCTCGGTTTTCTCCTGCCACTTGAGTCTTTTTCAGTCTTTTTCAGTCTTTGAGTCTGTGAGTCTGTGAGTCTGTGAGTGCGACGCATGCTCCAGGCCTTCTGCTCCAGCACTGCTCGGGATTTCCAAATGAGGTCCTCTAAGTCATCCTGAACTCAGACTCTGTCTCAAGCGCAGAGAGCCCGACAGCCTGAAACGGATAGAGCTCTTTGAACCACTTCTTGTAGGCAGCCATGAGAGCCTGGGCCAACTCACGAGTGATCAGTTCGGGTCTCCAGGTCACCTTGAGATCCTCAAACTCATTGCCCTTGCCCTTGAACTTGAGCTTCGGGAAATCCCGAATGACCTAAGAGCGAATGACCTATCGGGCGATCGGGCTATCTGGCTAACTACCGGCCTTCTTCAAGCCCTTCTCCTCAAAGAAGACTTGATGCCTAATATCGTTGCTGAGCTCTTTCGCTCGAGAGCTCCAGTCTGAGTGCACAGCGTCAGCTTGGGCTTCTTGCTCCGCGTGAAGGGAACCACTTCTGCCTCTCACACGCCACTCTCTCGCGTGCAGGCGAGGCACGTTGCTCCTTGTCCTTCACATCCAGATCCAGATCCCCACCGTGGACCTTCCCATTCAAACCTAGTGCGTCACGAAGAAACTCTGAGCCAAGGACCCGTGGTTCCTCAGCCATTCCCCCTGAGTCTGAGTTAGCTTCTCCATGTGTCTCACTCTTGTTAGACTCCTGAGCCTGCCACAAAGCAGGAACACCCCCACACGGTAGACTAAGGCATTCCGCACGGACGGCCGACGGCCGACGGCGGGCAGCGGGCGGCGGGCGGCGGGGTGCGGGCAGATTGCGTGCGAGCAGCGTGCTACATTGTGCAACGCGTGAGATGAGAAGTCGGCTCATGTCGGCTGTCGGCTGTCGGCTCATTTCACTGCCAGGCTCGAGCGCAAACACCTGGCCGAGCCTAGAGCTCCGGAGTCCTCTGGAGCCAGCAAAAGCCCAAAGTCTAGTGGAGCTTTGCGCCCTTGCGATCTGGCTGAGTCGGAGTTTGGGGCGCGCCCGGGTGCGCCCCGAGTTCGCTAGTGCGGGGCTTCGCCAAATTTGCTCTCAAGCATCCGAAAAGGCGAGGCCTCCTTCTCGTTTTGAAATCTCTTGACTCTCGTTTTGAAATCTGCTTCAGCCTCGGGGTTTGCTCCGAGCCTTCAGCCGGGACCGCTTCTCTCCGAGTCTCATGCGACCTCCCAGGTAAGCCATGGCCCTACCAAGACTTCAGCTTCCGGGCATGCAGGTAGGCGAACGGCGCCGACCTATACGCAGCGATACGCAGCGATACGCAGCGATACGCAATGCATCGGGCACGGCATGGATTCTCACTCTCAGGCGGCAGCCAAAGCAAGCAATAAACCATCATGATCATCAGGGCCTCAGGTCTAAAAAAAGACTTTGACCGTTTCAGCGAAAGACAGGACGCGCACTGGCCCAAAAGGCACCAGCAGCGGCTGCAGCACCATATTCACCGCCTCAAGCATGGCAGGCTGACGCTGCGAGGATTCAGCCTGCCCCCACCCCAGTGAGAAGGTTGGCCAACAGGAACACCGCCAGCATCGAGCCCTGGACCTCGCAAGGCTCCATGCTTGAGCAATCTTGTTTCTTGGGCACGAACTCCTTGAAGCGTGATGGAGGCGGGCCTTGCAACTCGACTCGAGTGACTCGAGTGACTCGAGACTCAAAGGACTTTGTGACCACTTTTCACGCCGTTTCACGCCTTGGCCTTGCCAGGCGGTCGATGCCTGCCAACAGTGCCAGCCTGTGCCGCGGCCGATGCCACAGTTCCTGAATGTGCCTGGGTCCACTGGGTCCCTGGCACCCAGCAGTTCAGGGACGTCATGAGCATCACGTATGAAAGATTGCACCTCAAATTCGACTCTCAACTCGAATCGTTCACCGGAAGCGCGGGTCGCGCGGGTCGCGCGGGTCGCGCGGGTCGCGCGGGTCGCGCGGCGCGGGTCGCGCCCGCGAGGCCCCAGCATGCGCCGAGACCTGAATGCGCAGGCGCACACGAGGTGCGATGTGTATTGAGGACCAGGCGCTGGAAGGAGCAGACTGGCGGAACCCCCCAATGCTGCCAGCAGCAGCAGCCTCGTGAGAGTCAGAAGAGTCAGAGTCAGAGGCCGAAGATGTTTCGGCAAGGCTCCGGCTGGTGAACGCAGCGCCAAGAGCCCCTGGCACGCGAAACTCTCCAGCGAAAACAAAGTGGCAAATCGGCCTCAGCAGAGAGCCGACCCAAACACCGATCCAGTGAAGGCCTGGCACCAAGCAGGCTGAGCAAGGGAAGGTGACAAGGACGAGTTCGATGTTCGAAGCACATGGAGAGCCAAGTCCTTGGCTTCCCTTTCCCGGTCCGGCCGAGGTAGCCCGCGCTGCTCAGGATCCCCTCCCGGTTGGCAGAGACCAAGTCCAGCCGCTCCGCGTGCAGCAGGAACTCGGCTCCTCGGAGCAGAAAGAAGCGGTTGTCTTTTTCAAGAAATAGAAAGCAGAAAGAAGAAATAGAAGAATGCACAAGTGGGGAAGGTGGGGCTGTTTTGGTCGACGCCTCCCAGCCAGCTGAGGTAGCACCTGGGCCAAGAGACCCATCAGCTTCCCTACGAATCAGCCCAGTTTAAGGAGGGAGCCACGCTCTCCCCATGAACCGCAAAACCTTCAGCCTTGCTCTGCGCCGGGCTGGTAAGTGCCTAGGGTGAAGAGAGCAGCTGCAGCTGCTGCTGTGGGGCACAAGTCCTGCAAAAGCGCCTTTCACTTGGCCTCGTGTGCACATTCCCATCAGTCCAAGGCAGTGGAGACAAGGCGAACCACCGCCACGGTGAAGAAGAAGTTCCAATGCACGCCTGGAGAGAACCGGGCCGGTGGAAGCACCGGAAACGAACTCCCCCGGCACCGTATTCGCTCTGCGGCACGTGGTAGTCCTTGGTGTGCGAGGCGAGCCCGAGGCAAGGAGGCAACCCGACCCGTGAGCCGAGCCACAGTTCCCCACACCAGTGCAGCTCGGGAGAGACCAATGGCAAGGACTGGCCTTCACTCTTCGACTCTTCGACTCTTCGACTCTTCGACTCTTCGACTCTTCGACTCTTCGACTCTTCGACTCTTCGACTCTTCGACTCTTCGACTCTTCGACTCTTCGACTCTTCGACTCTTCGACTCTTCGACTCGACTCTTCGACTCTTCGACTCTTCGACTCTTCGACTCTTCGACTCTTCGACTCTTCGACTCTTCGACTCTTCGACTCTTCGACTCTTCGACTCTTCGACTCTTCGACTCTTCGACTCTTCGACTCTTCGACTCTTCGACTCTTCGACTCTTCGACTCTTCGACTCTTCGACTCTTCGACTCTTCGACTCACACGCTCGCACTGGCGCCCACGCCAAAGCTTCAGCATTCTGCGCACACGCCCTCCTCAGAGATTTGAATCGGCTTTCGGCTTTGGCTCTTGCTCGAAGGCGCTAAGTCGCGAGCTGGTGCTCTTGGTCCGCGTCACCTGAACCGAAACCGCGGCGAATCACCGGACGCGCTTTGAGCTGTACAGAGCTCTTCGAGTCGCTTGGGGCTTCTCTTGTCTCTGCCTTCGGAGCTTTGGCGCTTGCTCTTTACGTGTTCTTCTTTTCCGGCTGCTTGATTTCTCGTCTTTCTCGTCTTTCTCGTCTTTCTGGTCTTTCCGGTCTTTCTCGTCTTTCTCGTCTTTCTCGTCTTTCTCTTCCTTTCTTTGTGGCTTTCGCTTCCTTCGCTGTCGAATCTCTTAGGCCGGGGCGGCAGAGGCGAAGATGATGCTGCCAGTACCCAGGTCCATCAGCGAGTACCCGAACCTCGCATTCTGCTCGCGCGAGCTGACTCTCGTTTTGCCGCTCTCTTCTCCGTTTTCTCCTTTTCTCATCTTTTCGCCTTTTCTTTTCTTAGCCCGTTTTTGTCCCTCCTTTCAAGCTCGGCCAATCAGACACTTCCAATCTGACAAACTGACGACTCTTCAATTCTCAAACCTCCCCTTCTGCAAGACATGTGACATCGCGCTTGCATGCCTTGAGTGTCACATACACCTCAAATGTCTATCTTCGGAATTCTTCGACGGGATGTGCGTGTCGCGAGCTGACGGAGCCATGAAAACATTCAGAATTCCGTGCCCCTTGGCCTTTGCATCTAGGAAAGCTCACATCAAAGTCGTTGAAAAACAAAGCCCATAGCACACCCGAAGATGCGAGCACCAGAACATTTCACTGGGCACATGACTCTTCAGTCTTCGCGTGCATCCTTGGAAACAAGGATGAGAAGTCCACCTCAGTCCAATTTGCGAGAACGGAAGCAATCCAAATGGGTGACCTTTGATGCTTCAGGACAGCCTTCCATTTTAGCGTGTTTGTTGAGGTCTGGGCTGGGATAGGGTCTTAGCTTTGACAAGGGGCTTGGAGTTTCGTTAGGGCCTCGGGCTTTGTTCAGGGATGGCTTACAAATGGGCAGGGTTTACGGCGGGTTTACCTTGGGAAATGGTCGTGTTTGAGGTTGCTTGAGTGCGCAGGGGGTCAGGGTTTCCAAGGCTGCAGCTTATCGGTGGCCTATGTTGGGTTTGAGGCAAGCAGACTTAGGGTGGGCTAGGGGATAGTATGAGTGCCTTTGTGGATTGGGTTTGAAGTTTGCTCAGAGTTTTTCTAGGAATGGCGAATGCAGGCTACAACATGCCAACTGCAGATTGAGGGCGTGACAGCCAGGATCACCACGCAGGTGGAAACCATGACCTCTCGCGACTTTTTTCGCAGCCGAACGAACCCTAACCCCCGCGCCATGGCCCGGTACTCCATGATGAAACGCTCCGACTCAGACTCCGAGTTCTCCGAGCTCTCCGAGCTCTCCGAGCTCTCCGAGCTACTCTGCCCCTTGTGCCCCATTTGCAACTTCACGTGGTGCGCAGCCAGGAGGGCCAAGGTAAAGAGCAGCGGCCAAGCCACATGTGGCAGCGAGAACTGCAGGGCCCTCAGCGTGGAAATCCAATTGTTGCGTGGAGATGCTTAGAATCCGCCGACCCCCTGTCTCAAGGGCGTGGTGGTGACAATCATTCCTGCTGGGATCCTCATCATCATCATCATCATCATCATCATCATCATCATCACAAGAAGCCTCTCATCATCTTGGTCATCATCATTGTCTCAGCTCATGACGCAAGGAATTCCATGATGATAGTTAGCATCACGATCATCCTCATGTCAGAGTGCCCGGGCCCAGAACTGCCAGGCAAGGGCGTTATCCTCATCATTAGGCCCTGATTGCGATGCAAGGGATGCTACGATGATAGCTATCACTCATGACACACTCATTATCATGATGATCCTCATCATAGTCATCGTGATAATGCTTATCATAGTGTTAGGGATGCTAGCATCATCCTCAGCATATCATCCTTCCAGCCCTATGATGACTCCCGGTGCCGCACCTCGCAGGTGTTGCCAGGGTTGTTTCATCACGGTCATATACCATCATGACTCAAGTGTCCCGTTTGGCAACGTCAGCGATCCAGGTATCATGACAGTCATCCGTCTCTTTCTTATAGAAACCTGTTTGGTGCAACGTTGGACATCGCTGGGGACGCAAGGGATGCTATGATATGATAGCTGTTAAAGTCAGCATCATCATCATCATCATCATCATCATCATCATGATCATGATCATCATCATCATCATCATCATCATCATCATCATCATCATCATCATCATCATCATCATCATCATCATCATCATCATCATCATCATCATCATCACTCATCGTCTTCTTGCAATGCTACGCTGCTGGGGATGCAAAGGATGCTACGAATAGTCATCATCGTCTCAGTCCCTTTTTTACACAATGAAAAACTCACTCCGAAGCCTCTGTGGCCAAGCACCCCCAAGGGCAAAGAAGAATCGGGGCAAGGCACCGTGCCCATCTCATAGCCCCTCTGTTCAGGGCGGGTTGGGTAGGGAACAAAGCCAAAAGCTACGGCTACAAAAAGGTGCCCGCAAGCATCGTGTTTAGCAGTCTAACCAAACGCTCGATTACGTTGCACCAGCAAGCAGAAGTTTGTCATAAAATTAAGAAAGTTCAATCTCCGAGAAATCACTCCTTTCACACCAAGCCGGAAAAAGTGAGACCCCCAGCGCCTCCCAAATAGTTCTGCAAGCCTGGCTTCAGAAAAAACAGTTTTGGCAAAGAAGCGGTATGTCCCCCTGGCCTCTTTCTTTGAGGAAGGTCATTGAGTTTTGGAAACCTCCGAGATACGGTGGCAATGACTTGTTTGAGACTTTCATGTCACGCGTGAGCGCTGGACCTTCACTACGCTAAATTCAGGCAGCGCAAGCTGCGGCCACCGGCCTTGTTGCAGCAGCTTATCGAAGCAGAAAGCTGCGCCTCCCCATCTTTAAGAGTGGCGCCAAAGCCCAAGTCTTGGATTTGCAGCTGATCTAACCACTCTTGAAAGCGCTCTGTCGCCACAGACGCGCTTTGGGGACAACACTGTCGACTGCTCCAAGCCGTTCTCCTTGGTTCAACCAAGGTTGATCAAAGGAATACGTAGCACGATCTTGAGAGAAAGTGCGAAAGAGCACTCTTGTGACAAAGCGTGGCCCACCATGGGGCTCAGCTAGCAATTTCGTTCGCACGCCAGGCCGGGGATGGCATCGTGTTACCAGCGGGGACCCTGCCCTCTCAAGAACCCATTCGGGCCATTTCCTGTGGCCAACTGATTGCAAAAACTCAGTACAAAATTGCAGAAAACGACGCCTGGCTTTCTCATGCTGCAACGTCAAGTCTCAACTTGCCCGAATATTGACTCTGCCTTCATGCGACCTCCCTTCTACACGGCGCGCTTCTTTACCCTTCGCCTTGGCAATCGGCAACGCGGTTAAGGCATTGACGCGCTCTTTCCATGGACACTTGGCAGCGACATTTGGCGTCTTCCTTTGTTGACCCTTGCACCATGATGTCAAGCCACCAAGTTTCGCCCTTCCACAGGGGCTGGGTTGACACTCAGAGCCTGCCCACCATGTCCTGCGACGCACGAGTCGTAGAGCAAGGTCGCTCAGCCAAACTTGCACGAGCCAACTTGCACAAGAAATCGCACAGTCAAACTGGCACGAGCACGAGCCAACCCGCACGAGAAAGATCGCACGAGCCAACTTGCCGAGCCAACTTACGCGAGAAAGCTCACACTGCCAAACTTGCACGAGCCAACTAGCACGAGAAACCTCGCACGAGACATGTAAGCACGAAAACAATTGGTTTCCTTATGGAGAAAATATGTACGGAATATGTGCGCAACATGGGTGGAAAAGGACTAGCGCTGGATGTGTTGAACAGAAATTGACAATCGATGGAAAATTGATCAACGTACGGAAAATAGAGGGAACCTTCATAGAAGGCATGCAAATGAAGCAAAATTCAAGGGAATGCGTAACAGAAATCCAGAGGAAGAAATTAAGGGAAGCACACGAAGGGCAGGGCGGGGCGCCCGGCGGCCGTCTGCGTCGCGTCAGCGTGTAACAAAGAACGAACGCATAGGAATGCTGCGATATTGAATCTTTTTGTGACTTGTTGAGGGCACGAGGCCGCGGCACTGGCAGCACTACACTGCTCGCATCCAGGAGCACCCGCGCCCGATGTGTTCTCTCCAGCGGCAGAAGACCATGAGCAAAGATGACCACCGGGTATGCCTCACAAGCCAAGCAATGGCACCCACACGCAAACAAACGGGGCCCCCACGAGCATGAGCCTGAACATGGACCTTAGCACAAAACTTGTCCTTCTTTCTCTAGCTCGACGCAGCTCAAAGCAGCTTGAAGCAGCTCGAAGCACATGTTCACTTGTTCCTCAGGGACTGGCAGCATTGAGGCGCCAGTGCGGTTGATGTAAGCCTGACCGGAAGCGTTTCTGGAACAGCCGTCCGCGCCCATGTCCAAGGTCTAAGGTCCGGGCCAGCTCCTGCAAGCGGCGATAGCCTTCGGCTGAGGTCCCCCAAGAGCAGGCCTGAGAAGCGTGCAGAGAGAGAGAGAGAGAGAGAGACAACAAACGAAAGAAAGGAAACCCAGAACTTAAGCGTCAGTCGAAAGAGACACGCCCGCTTTCTTGCAACTTTCTCAAGTCACTTTTCGATCTCCGCCCGCTCCTCGTACGTCCATGTCAGAGCACCATCAAACTGAGGGCAACCACCTCGGAAACAAAAGGAAACGAGCGAAGCATCCTCCACTGCGCCGTCAGCCAAGCCTGAAGCCTGAGTCACAGGCTCATGGCGCAATGGCGCAAGTCGGGCACGTCCCGAGTCAAACGGCTGCCCCAAGCTCACACTTTGCAATGCGTCAGGTCGAACAACTCGCGATGCATTTTCGAACCTTCTCAGCTCCTCGCGCTCTAAATTCACACGCGTCACTCTACTGGCAAAAACCTGCATCAGGGGGTCGCGCTCAAAGCGTTGACCCTACGCATACAAACTTGTCTTCGAAGTGACAGGCTTGCGGATGCGGGTTCGCGCGGGGACCCGCAATGTACCAGGTTCGGTGGCCGAACTGCTGCCCCTCCTCATAGAAGGCCACTGCCGTGTGTAGCAAGGGATCAGTGTTCCAAGATTGCGTCACAGTGCGCTCTCACTGTGCCGCCGTGTTCATTTTCCGGCTTTTGTTAGCAGAGCCAACAGTTGTGGGTTCTTGGCTGGACGCCTCGCGCGAAACGTTCTTTTTTTGATGACGAGCGCATTTTCATGGAAGGGAGGTTTGTATTTCGAGTTAAGTGTTTTGAGTATAGTGTGTTTCTCATGGTAGGGACGTTACGTGGTAGTTTTTTCTTGTCAAGTCAGGCCACGATGCTTGAATGTTGTCTTGCGTGCGACAGCTTCGCGTGAAAAGGACCTTTCTTCAAAACTGCATTCTCGCTGTGGCCCTGCACCGATATTCGGATTGTGTGCCGCAGGCTGGATTTTATGGCCAGCGACAGCACTCTGCGACACTGCCATGCATTTTTCGCAAAGGGCGCAACTTGTTTTGCGCTGATGCTATGGGCTGCGTGGCAAGCACAGTGTGAGTTTGGTGATTTCGCCGGTTTGCAAGCGTTACAAGACGAAAGTGAACCCTTTGCGAAGATCGTGCGCTCTCGCTGCGGCGCCTCGCGAGTGTGTCTTGAGCTCGGCAACCCTCTATGGAGATTGTGCGCGTCGAAGCGCTCTCGCTGTGGCGCCGCGCGGCGGGCGTGTCGTCGGCGACCTCTGCAGAGATCGCGCGTCGAAGCTCGCACTCATCCTGACTTGCCTCCCAAGTGTGAAAGTCGTGTTCACAAGTTGTGGTTGGACGTAAAGTCTAGCAACTGTGTCAAAAGCAACATGTGCCTGGTAGCATCCACACGCGCCAATCTCCAAACATTACTCGGCTAGGTTTCTAAACAAGTCGTCAGGCTCGCACAGCCTCCAGCAAACAGTATTGGCAACCGAAGTTGCCCGCGAACGCAGCATCATCACTTCCAAGTGCTCCTACATTCTTCTTGCCGAAGTAGCTCCGGAAAGGGCCAGAGCCCAGCTACTGTTGCAATTCCAAGCGCGAAGCACAATTAGCAAGTCAGCGTATATGCGCTGGCCTTCGTGCGGCATTTACAAGCGCGCTAACAGATGTGGATCCACGAGCGCGGGCCTTTTTTGTACAGAGCAGCTGCCTCAACACGCGGTGAAACTTGGCAGTGGTCGCATTGGCGGCCACTCCAGATTGCGAGCAACTGACTTGAGCGAAACAAGCGAGCGAAATAGCGAGCAAAATAACTCTCTGGGGCTGGTGGATGCCTCCTATCGTCGCCCACTGAATCAGCGCGCGCCCTCTCTTGCCCAAACCAGGTCGCCCGCGAGCAGTGTTGCCAAGGGGGCCGGGTGCGCCGCGCAAGCCTTTCTCATCCCAGCGCCACAGAGCAACACGCGTCAGCGTTGGGCTTGGCGCAGTGAGGAAGCGCTTGCCAAAAACAGGAACCATAGCCAGCATGGCAAGCGGAGCGCGTTGGTTCAACTCACGCTTGCTCTCATGAACAAAGTCGACGGTTGCACTTCCGTCGCGGTTGGTTCCATGGGTTCATGTTCCAAAACAAACCGATCTGCGACCCGAGCAACCAGCCAAAGGAAGCACAGAGGCAGAGAATGTGTTGCAAAGCCCCTTCCCTGCATCTTCACCTCTTCACTTGCTTCGCCTCAACCCACTCCAGCTCGACAAAATTCTGAGATCCGGACCTGTGCAATCATTCATTGGCTTCCACACGCGGCGTCCTTGGCAGAAGCTGTCAGGCACTCCCCGCACATGGCCGGATCAAACTTCGCAAACTCACACCTTTTCCATCCTTTTCCCCTCGCCCTGCGTCAGCGCAAACGGAACCTCTTCCCGGCTCCTTTGCAATCAACACGCGAAGCGAAAATACACGGAAATGTGAACCGGTGAACCGCTCCTAGGGCGAACCCCGCAGCCAGCATCCATGGGGCCCACTGGGCCCACTGGGCCCACTGGCCTGAAGTTTAGCAGTTTAGCCCAGCGATCGCATGTTCGGGCGCCCGCGAGGCTGCGGCCAAGTCCGCTCGCGCGGCTGTGGCCCTCATGGCCCCCGTGGCCATGGCCGTGGACTTGACCCACGCGGAGGCCCGGGCCTGGACTCAACTCGCGGACCCGCGGACCCGCGGACCCGCGTCACGCAACCGCGCAACGTTCACCGCGCGCGCCTCCGCAAGATACACAAGTCCCCTCTCTCGGCTGGTACCTCAGCAACTCCGATCCGACCATCCGACCATCCGACCATCCGACCATCCGACCATCCGACCATCCGACTCCGACTCATCCGCCTCAGTGGCAACTGCAAAGACTCCTGGCAGAGCGCGAGCGCGGGGATTGCTGTGGATTGCTCCTCGCCTTCTCTGGCTCGTAGTGCCGCCTCAGAGTGGGACTGGAAACTGCGGCTTTTGGGGCGAGAGCTGAGCAAGCAAACTCTGAGACTTGAGGACGGCACAACCCGAGTTCGGGCTCCAAATACTCTGAAGGTGTCGGGCCACAATAGTCTTGACTAGAGGCAATGGACTGCAATTTGGAAAAATAGGAGACCTACACGGCCTGTCCGAAATGCCAGCCTGATCAGAAGCTGAAGGCTGCCAAGCGCAGGCTTCCCTGAAACAACCGAAAAGAGCTAAAGTCAGCCTGAGCTCAAGCATTAAGGGCCAGTTTTCTCTCTTGTTTTTTTCTCTCTCTTTTTCTTTCTCTCCTTTTTTTTCTCCTTTCTCTCCTTTCTCGGCCCTTGGGCTTCGGCATCTCCACGCCCGCGAGCTCAAAGAGGCGCCGCGAGGCTTGGGCCGAGGCCCTCACCGCGTGCTTGTCCTGCACCGATTTCTCCGGACCTTTTGGCCTCTTCTTCCAATTGTTCCAATTGGCTGTCAACTCTTCCAATTCCTAAGGGAACTGTTGGAGCTCTCAAGCATTTGGGCTTGATGTTCCTGAGGATGCAGCTGACGCATAGATCACCTGGCGAATGCCAGCCTTCAGCGCAAAGTTTGCACAAATTGCAGTGGATACCGAAACACGCACGCCTGCCTGGATGATGACTTTGGCACACTCATTGCAAGGAAAAAGGGTGCTGTAGAGCCTGGCTGCCGGCAGGCGTCGGCTCCCGTCGGCCCGTCGGCTCCCGTCGGCTTGTCTCGGGCGTGGAAGAAACGATCCGAGCCTGCACCCGGCACAGCTCTCGGCGTTTTTGTTGAGCACGGCATTGAGTTCTGCGTGGACGACCTCACATCGAAGGGCTGTAAGCAAAATAGCTTGGACCCTTCGCCAGAATCCTCGTGTTCCAAGACAGCCTTTGAATTGGCATTCACTGACACTTCAGGTCCTGGAAAGACGTCATGTGACGGATAGGTTTAAAGAACTGGGCAATTGAAATGAAATTCATCACATGCGCCTGAGACATGAACACAATTCAACATCAACTAGCACGATACAAGACAATCTAAGCTCCCAAGGTTCTCATGCGTGACATGCTCAGCAAGCCTGCCCAAAGCGATCAGTGTCATGCAAAATTTGCAAACTAGGAACATGCGCATGAATGCATGCATATGCGCATACATCCCGCCGGGTTGACAATTGCGCCGCCAAAGATGAATGCAAGACCCAGACACGCCCGCAACGTTCAATCACAGGGCACATGTACAGGTATGCGCAATACGCAGTTTACTAAAGCTACCATCTAACCACCGACGGATCGCATATTTTGCAAACTTGCTTGCTTTTGTGAAAACAAACGGTTTGCAAGGCCCACATCATCAGCTGTCCCATGGTGGACACCCTCTTCAGGTCATTAATTTGGGGGTCTGAATTTCTTGTTGGACCAAATCGGAAGGCTGTCCAAACATCGAAACCAATCAAGGGCAAGCCGGTAGTCCCAGGCCTCCGGTGCTCTGTTCCCTTCCATTTCGGGAGCCAACCACCTAACATAATATGTTCTTCAAACCACGCTCATGTGAAGACTTCTTTTGGGGGGGGCGGACAAACTGACAAACAGTTTGTAACCCCTTACATGCTTCCAAAAAGACAGGACAAAGTGATCCAAGATTTCCAGGACACTTCTGTTGAAAAATCGGAGATCTTGGCTGTTGAGCCCAAGTTGTACAGGCAGGATGATTCAAGTCCAGGATGTAGATGTAAGGCAGCGCCATGAGGGATCCAATACTTCTCTGACAAATACCTGGGAACCCGATTTTAGTTACCCTTTCACCTTCTGGCAGAAATGGAGGACCTCGACATCTCTCCTGAAAGAAGGTTCAAGCGGTTTGGGCCTTGACATAGAGAGATGAATTTTACGAACGGGTAAGGAAGCAAAGCCTGTACGCAAAACTCCTGACACAAGTGGGCCAAGGCAGCGAAGCGTGGATCCATGATGATTTGGAGGGTACCAGATATAGGGATGCGCATATGTTCACATTCGTGTGGGAATACTGGGAATTGGAATGCCCATGCTATTCTCCGTGTCCTTTCCGTTACGTCTCTCAGCCTTGGGCGTAGGGGTACTTGGTCGCCAGCTCGCCTGACACGAGTGTACTGTTGGAACTCGGAACTTCGGACTGAGCTTCTCGTTGGCCTGAAGAGGACGTCTTGCTCCAGGGAAGCTCTTCATTCGGGCAGTTGGTGGGCATGCCATTGTAGCCTGCACAGCCAAAACACGGTAGCGCCAAAACTGGCGTAAACTTGCGAACAACGCCGAATATGCCTACTCCAATGATGCGATTTCGGTCGTTCACGATGCAGGCACCCACCTGACAAGGGCACAAAGGACGCAGGAGCAAAATCAGGGGCCCTGTTCAGGACCAACGCAAGCCTGCGTGGACGGATCTTTGGATCGCATGGCTGTGAGGAAGGCCAAACCTGCCATATTCAAATCGCTTCGCCAAGAGAAGACAAGCCAAAAACAAACAACCCGGACTGGGGACTGGGCCCATGAAGTAGTCATCCCATGACAATGCTCCTCGCCGAGGTCCTTTCCAAAATGAGGCGTTCCACCGTCTTGCATTCAAGGACAGTACATGTGGCATGCCGTTACACGTCCGTACATCAAGACCGCGAGCCTACTTGCACTTGCCCAAGGGCACACAGCTTGCTACACGCCAACGAACGTGCATGCGTTCGCTACGCCGGCACTCAAGCACGCACGCACACGCGCACACGTACGCAGGCGCCTGTGTGTGCCTGTGCTGCGCGAGTGCGTGTTTGTGTGTATTTGAGTATGTGTGTGTGTGTTGTGCGCTCGTTTGTGCGTCTGTGCGTTTGCGCGAGCGTGCGCGTGCGAGCGCCCAGCCCAGCAAGCGCGTGAGAAAACAAGCGCGGAGACACCAGGAAGCAAGTGGGGGGACAAAGGGCTGACCGAGCCAGACCATCTCGTTTCAGCGCGTGAGGAAACAAGTGGGCTGGACCATCCAGTCATACATGTTCGTATGATTCCAGATTGGGGTTTGCCCTGTGATTGGCTGATGTGGTGAACGAGAATCCTTCCCCGCCTTGGTCCATTGCACTCGCGACTCCGTTTTTAATCTGGCTCCAGTGCAAAATGGGCCCCTACTGAGCCAAAGGCGACGGTGCCATGGATTGCACTCTCTGCTCCGGCGAAGCAATTGAGCTGTGGCAACACTAGGGCTCAGACGTGCACCATCCGTGGCCTTTGACAGTTCAAATCATGTGCCTTGAGCCACTCAATCCGTTCAAATCATCCAGTCACCTACAAGTGCTTGGGTATTCGCACACTGCATTTGTTTTGCAAGTTCAAAAGCTGCACCTCTCAAACATCCGGCGTTCCACTACCATGCTTTTCAAAAAAGTTGGTCTGCTTCTACACGAAGGCAAGATCTCGGTGAGCCGATTTCATCGGTGCACCAAACATCCGCCACTTATCTGCCCTGGCAGGAAAGAACAATTGACAGCGTACTCTGACCATCTCCGACAACACAGGCAAGCCAAGAGTTAAATCGAAAGACCCCCACAGCCCCTCAAGGGAAACGGATCAGGAGGATCGTTGTGTCGTCCACCAGCTCATCACCTTCTGCCCTCCGCACTGCCTGGAAGCAACCGGGTCACGATATCAAGGCCCATCTCAAAGGCCTCTGTCAAGGCTTTCAAAGCGATGGCGGGCATGTTCTGGAACTTCGCGACAATCCGAACAGCCTCGACTCAGAGCGCTCTGACGCTCTGACGCTCTGACGCTCTCACGCTCTGCCCACTAGTGCTCAGCTTCGCTTGCCTCGTCGTTCGAAAGAGAATCCCAGAGACCGTCCGTCGCTATAATGATAAATCTGTCCTGACGGCACCGCACACGACACGCGAATCCTTTTCTCCTCTTGCGCCTGGGCCTGCAGCTGGTGATTGGTCACCTGGGCGCTTCATGTGTCACCCACTGAGTCAGCACAAGACAGAGCTTTGAGCCTGAGCAAGCAACGACACAAAGGCCAAAGAGCAAGAACGGAGAGTAAGAAGTGAATAAGAAATGTGCCAAAAGATTAAGAAATGATTTGAATTGGATTTTCTTTAAATGTGAGAAAAGTTGAAGAATGGAAGAAGAGATTGTCCGTTCTGTTTTTTCTGTTTCGAGTTGCGATCGAAATTCGGGGCCCCTGCCACGGGGCTCGCAATCACGCCGAGGGCTCGGGCAGCTCCATCCCCCAAGCTGCGAGACCTCGACGCGAGAAGAGGAGAAAAAACGAACCAGGAAAAAACTGCGACGAAGACAAACTCAGACAAAATACAAGACCTCCCCAGTGACCTGATTTTGCTTCAGCCCGGTCTAAGCAAGCTGGAAAATGCGCAGCATGCAAAAGATGAGGACGCAAAGGAACTCAGCGATGCAAGCAATGTTGGGGATGCTGGCGATGCTAGTGGTGCTCGGAACGTTCACGGGTAACGCCGAAAGATTGCAATGTGGAGAACTTCGGGTGAAAAAGCAAAGGTTTGATGTGAAAAAGAACTTCGGGTCTCCTGGGCTCGACTGCGCTGAGGCGTTGGCACGGCAAGGCCAGGTTTTTCACACTGCGGCCCATCCCAGACCTCGCTCAACCCGCAAAAGGATGGAGTAAAAGGAGACGAATGGAAACCCAAACGACACCAAAGTCGACAAGCGTCGGGCAACAAAGTGACCTGAGTTCCCTGCGCGGAAGGGGCCGGCCTCACAAAAAGGGGAAGGAGCAAAGCTTGCAGAGAGCACGAGTAATCCCGCGACTGCAAGAGCGCTGCTGGTGACAGGCACCCTGCAATGCTGACAATGCTGCGATCCGGCCTCAACCCCGACTTCGTCCCGAAATTGGCAAACGAAGCCTGGTGCAAGCACAGCAGCGCATGCGCAGCGCGAAGCCTCCCTCAAGGCCATATGGTGACCATGCAAAACTCTTGGCAAGCACGTTTGATGGCAGTGGCCTCCGCTGAGCTCTATCCGCTCTTTCTCCTTGCACGAAGACAAGCGACTGGAGACTTGCGAACGAGTGCGCTTGAGCGAGGCGATCCAGCGATGCACTCCTCGGGCAGTTCGGGCTTGAGGTCCGTAGTGAGGGCCACGGCCTAGCCGGCTGAAGGACCCGAAGGACCCGAAGGGGCCGACGGGGCCGACGGGGCCGACGGGGCCGACACTTTTAGTTCCAGGCCGACCACTTGGAGCCCTCGAGGCGCCCCAACACAGCCCGGGAATCGCCTACCTGACCGGAGATCAAATCTCACGTGTCCGCCAACATTGCTTGGCGTAGAGGATGCGCCTCCTTTTTCTCGTTTGTTCTGTGCTTGGGTCACAGCACCCACTCACGCAGCAATATCATTGCCATTTCCTTGCTTTTTATGTCTCCAGCTCATAGAGAAAAAGATTAACCTTATTATTTCTTGCAAGTTAGAATATTCGGGGCTCAGCAATGGGGTTTTCTTTGAACTGCATCAAACTAATTAGATTCAATGCTTATTGATTGAAGCAATGGAAAGCCTGTTCCATTGTGTAAATTCACCACCACTCATAACATAAAGATGCTCCATTTAATATTAATTCCCTGTTAATTTTTAAACATAATTTTCTATATAACTCTAATATCAACTATGACCGATGTTCCAATAATAAAACCCAAAAAACATAACTGATTACGAATTGAAACAGACTAAATACGTGCACGTGCCAAAACTACCTTTTAGAAGCATTATAGTTGCTTCTTCGACCGGCAGTAAGACTGCCCTTACTCAAAATTTAATATTGAATGTTTATAGAAATTCATTTGCAAGAATATTTAATTTTTCTTCCAGCGTCCACAACGACCCTACACTTACAGAAGTTAAAAAAATACATCAGGGATGAATTGCACGTGGATGATGAAAAAGAACAAATTTATTTTGATAATCATAATCCAAGTGATTTAGAAAATGTAGTTGAAAGAGAGAAGACAATCATTAACTATATGAAATCTAAAAAGATAAAAAAAATGCATTCAATATTAATCGTGATAGATGACTACGCCGATGACCCTAAATTTGCTAGATATAGTAAATTATTACACGGACTTTTTACAAGAGGTAGGCACGGTGCAGTATGTGTAATTTGTTCAACACAAAATGTAATGGTTTTAGCGCCTATCATTTAGACAATACACAGATGAAAACACTAAAAACACAACTAAGGTTAAGACCGTCGTATACAAAGGAAGAATAAACAAATAAGAATTCGGAACAGTTTATGATGATAATACAATAGATTTGAGACAACAACACTTTCAACAAGTATTAGAACAACCTAAACAGTCGCTCATGTTGATATGGTAAAAGCCGATGAAATGGATGATTTGAGAGACGGTGCAATACAAACAATAACTGCCACAATGGACGACGCAGAGGAACAACACGAACAACAAATCAGTCAAGTTTCAAAAAGATGTAGTAGCGAACAAATAGCAGACCTACACGAACGAGCACAACGGGCAAGACAATTTGAAGGACAAGAGGGGAGAAGACCAAGTACGCAGTCAATTGTAACCGCACAGTCAAACGACTCTGAAGACTTACCACCACTGGAAGAAATAAACATTGAAAGAATGACAGTAGAAGCAACAGCAAAGAAATATGTTAGAGACCTTGTAAATCGTCAGTCAAAAGATGTAGCAAAGAAAGTGGCGTCATCATTTGTCAAGCAAGTTACTGAAAAGAAAGCAAAAGAATTTGAAGAAAGAAGAGGGCAAACACGGGACATTTCATCCGCATTCCCACAAAGACCACCAAGAACAAGCAATAAAACCACTGACTATCCAACTGATATGAACCATTGGAACCAGAAAGCGAACGTTAAGGAAAAAGACACATTATTTCAACTACATTTAAGAGGAGCAGGACTTCCAGAAGAACAGGAAGAAGAATACAAAAATATACAGAAGGAAGGTAAAGGTAAAAGTGAAACTTGTAGAACTTATTTAGTTGGACTGGTGGAGAAACCCATAAACAGTGGAACATAAACAACGAAAGTAAATGATGAGCTGTTAAGAAAAAAGAATGGAAGATTGGAGCAGGAGCAGGTAAAGCAACAAGGGGATTAACCAATCGTTCAAATAATTTGTCATGGACGCTCTCTTTCCTTGGCGTTGCTGACATCAAGCTTCGTGACGACCATGCGGCCTAGGGCCCAGCATCGATGGAAAAGGTGCTTTATAGCACCGCAAAAGGGAAAAGGTGCTTTGTAGCACCGCATGCGTTTCACACACACACAGGCCTGCGCTGGCAGATGACAAGCGCAACTGCCAAAACTCGGGAGGGAGGGCGGGCCCTCAAAAACTGCAGGCAATGCGCGGATCAGAGGAATCCATGAAAGGCCATGGATGCTCTCTTTCCTTAGCATTGCTGACATCAAGCTTCGTGACGACCATGCGGCCTAGGGCCCAGCATCGATGGAAAAGGTGCTCTATAGCACCGCAAAATGGAAAAGGTGCTTTGTAGCACCGCATGCATTTCACACACACACACAGGCCTGTGCTGGCAGATGACAAGCGCAACTGCCAAAACTCTACTTCTGCTGTTGTGGTCCAGAGCGTTGGCAAAAAGAAACAAGCACCGAACTTGCAAGTTCCGCGTACTCAAACATTGACTTGCGCGAGCTCTCTTCGTCGAGCAAGGAAAGCCTGACTGAGACATTCATGCGTTGGCGCTGCCAACGCCCCTGCCACAGAAGGCGTGGCACATCTTCTGTACACTTGAAGAACCACGTTGCACCTGAAGATTTCAAGGACTTGGGAGTGATTCCTCTGTCTTTCTCGCTGACAGGCACGCCAAGGAAGCGAAACAACGTGCCCCAGCGAGCACGGAAAACATGGTTCGAACATGCAAACAGGCAGCTTTCCGGACGCAAGCGGCCAAAGACACATTCTAAAAGGCACACAGTCAACTCATCGGAGATCTTGGCGTGCTGTCTGCGCACGAACCGCTTGGTTTTCGTCTCCAGCAACGTAATGAAGGCCACAGGCTCACAGAGCATCAAGAGTTCAAGAGCTTTCCGGGCGACGATTTTGCGGTTTTCGGAAAAATCGACAGCAACCTTCGAGGGCGGTGTCCCTCACCCAATAAGTTGGACTGCGTGTTGATGAACCGCGCCTTGCTTGCCTATAAGTCTGTCCACCCCCGAGTGTCCAAGGCCAAGTTGGTTCAGAATGCATATTCCGGAGTTGTTCTCGGGGCTTGGGTTGATGGGAAGCAGTGGCTCGTCTCCGCCCAATTGAAGGCGCTTGTAACGTTGCACTTGGTCCTTTTGGGGGATACCACCAGGAAGATTCTTGAGACGGTGATCAGCAGTTGGGCTTTCGTGCTCATGTTTCGCCGCCCAATCATGTGTCTTTTGAATGCAGGAAGGCGAACATGTCGATGAGAATGCTACTTTTGCCCTTTCTACCATTGCCCGGCAAGAGCTGCTACTCCTGCTGGTTTTTGCTCCATATGCTCTCACTGATTTGCGTGCAGCTCCGTTGCCCAAAGTGTTTGCAAGCGACACCTCATTGCATGGCGCAGGTGTGACCGAGGCAGAGGTGTCTGTTCATGTAGCAACAGAGCTCATGCGGGTGGTCGAAGTTAAAGGCTACTCTACAGTTCAGGATAGGCCCCACGCAGCCGAGCACGATCCTCTTGTGTCCGCTCTGCTTGAAGAGGCGGACCCGGCCAGCCACATCCCTTGAAGTTTGGCAGAAGTGTTTTTTTGTGGGATGTTATAGAAACTTTCCGAGGGTTGGGGAACGTTTCCGGAAGCTGGATACCGTGTTCACCCTGGTATTGACATCTGCCATGACCCTCTGGCTGGCGACCTTTTACAGCACCCTGTCATGCTCCAGGTGGTAGGGCTTATTTGCAGGCGATTTGTGCGCATTGTACACGGGGGCCCTGGGAACTTTGTCAAGACCGCGGGTTCGTTCCAAGGACAAGCCGTTTGGGGTTTGCCCGTTTCAGGCTGCGACGCAGGACGAAAACTGTTTGGCTATGAGAACGGCGTTTCTTTTATACTTATGCGCGCAGCATGGTATCTTTGGTTCTTGCGAGCAACCCCGCAACTCGGTCATGCGCAGGCTGGGAATTTACAAGGATTTGATCGTCAAGGGATTCCACCATTTGAGATTCGTTTTTTGCAAATACGGCTCCCCTCTCACTGGCTGGTCAACTATGCCCCTCTTTTGCAGCTGAACGCAGCATGCCGATGCCCTTTCAAGGGAAGGCATCTGAGAGTGGCGAGCTTGTTCACTCCTCAGAGTGTGGAGTTTTTCACTTCGCGGCGCCGTCCCAACTGCGAGGAGGTTTTCGGCATGTGGCCCCGAGCAGCCCAATCGCTCGCAAGCTTTTCCGCTTCGTGCCCACTACCAGCCATGCACAAAATGGTAGAGATCTATGGGCTTGCTTTGAACCCTGCGGAGCATGCTAGAACCGGAAAACGCACGACAAAGGATCTTGGTTTCCGGTGGGTTAACGAGTTGGCCAGCTCCCTTCCCTGGAACACGAAGTTTCAGTTTCGTTTCCTGAAGGCAAACCATATTAATGTCAACGAGTGCCGCACTCTTCTGAAGCATTTGGCATCAGCGGCTAACACGACTCATTTTGCTGGGGATCCAGCGCTGGGAGCATGCCAAGGCTAGATCTGGAGTGTCGCCTGAACCCACAGCGGGCCTGAAGCCTGTGACTGCTGGTCGGCGGAAGGGTCTTCTTACTGAATTTCAGCAATGGGTGCAGCGCGAGGTTGGTGGCTGGAAAAGTATCACCTGCTCAGGTCTTGCTGGGCTTTGCTCTGCAAGCATATGGCAAATTCTCGTTTTACGCCGGAGCTCCTCGCTATAGGTTTGCAGAAACCATGAATGCTGTGGTCGATGAGTTTGCTTGCTTCAAACATTGCTTGCCTTCGGGTTGCCTGGAAGGCTTTGTCCCGGTGGGAAGAAGTGGAGCCAGTTGAAGCTGGCATGGTCTTCCCTGGGGGACTGCTCAGGGCTGCCATCACTGTTTCAATGGCATGGGGCTGGCATGTTTTTCGCTGCAGCTGCCGCGAGGAAAGGCTTTGCGGTACTGTGCCAGCTGCTCTGGGTTCAAAGCCCCTGCGCGACTCAACCAGTTCTTGTGAAGGCGGTAAGATTGTCCTTATTCAAAATTTAATCTTGAATGTTTATAGAAATTCATTTGCAAGAATATTTATATTTTCACCCAGCGTCCATAA